TACCCTCAGATTTACAAGAATACTAAATGCCATTGGACCAGTTTGTGGAGTGCGGTGTATATTATTATTATATCACGTGTACAGTGGTTATTTACTTATCGTCACGACTCTGACTCACGAGATGGTTTTATGGCTTGTAATTGAAAGAAAAAAATGAAATTCTCGCGGTAATGGGATTATTTTCTCGCGAGGAAATGAGGAGAAACAAAACGCATTAAGCTATTATGAAATTATTGAAGCAATAATTAATTAAAGATAAAGATTTGATTAAAGAACAATTAATATTGGTAAGTGGGAATTTCTCGAATATATATATATATATATATTGGTAAAGTGGGAATCCAATATAATTGCTGAAGTGCTCATTAAAATTTGAAATTTAGACTGGAAATATTGAGGATTATTCTGCTTTTATTACTTACCCACTTTTAATTTATATCATTACGCCCATAGAATATATATATATATATGTAATAATAAATGTATAGGTATGGAGTCTGGATATGTACGTACGTACAAATCTATGCCCATTGACGTATACATATAAATTGTCTTTGTTTGTGTTCATTATGCAAATATTTATATGGGTATGTACGCATGCGTTTAGTATATGTTTGTTTTTATCTATTAATTACGTATACAACTTCAATAATCATATGATTAAGTTAAATCAAATAATATAATATATGGTTTTAGTAATAATTATTACTAATTTATATAATAAATTAAATCATTGAGTTTTTGCTAATATTTTCTTTGGTGTTATTACAATATCTAAAATATTAATTTTATGCTATGTTTTGATTAATTTCTTTACAAACGAATTTTAACAGAATATTGAGATATTATAACATTAATTACTTTTATATCTCACTAATAGAAATGATTTTGCATAAAGTGAACAGAATAATCTAATCATTTAATGAAAATGTTTGTAATATAAAAATCAATAAATGATTAACCATAAAATTATACGGTGGTCATAATTAATTATAAAATAAAAATGACAAATATATATATATATATATATATATACTCTAATTAAATATTTGCTAGATGTGCTCAATGGGTACATTGTGTTGCAAACCCTTTTTCAATAGGTGATTTACATAATAATTTTATGAATAAATAAATACTCAATTCAATTCTTAAAATATAGTCAATCCTATATTTTTACAAATTACTTGTCAAATTTTTTAAATTTATTATAAAGCCTAAAGGAGAAGAAAATTCATACATGTCTTCCCGAATTAAACTCATTTATAAGTAATGTTCGTTTAATATAATTAGTTATAATCCTGTCACTGTTAAAAGTATTATTAAAATAATTATTCAATAAAAAAATTATAATACATTTGATCTAATAATCTTAAAAACTGTCTGTCACTTTGAAAATTAAAAATTACTTATTTGATAAAAATAAATGATCAAAAAATGTATAAATTTTGAAATCTTTTAAGAAGAAAA